GGGACCTGATCCAAGGAGCATCCGAGTGAGCTGCAAACAGGGCACTGAGAGGCAGAGCTGGGGGGAGCCCAGGGCCAGGCTAGCAGGGGCTGCAGGTCGGGAGTGAGGGGCACCGGCAGAGCTGTGGGGGGCAGGGCCGGGCTAGCAGGGGGCTGCGGGTCGGGAGTGAGGGGCACCGGCAGAGCTGGGGGGGAGCCCAGGGCTGGGCTAGCAGGGGCTGTGGGTCGGGGTGGAAGGGCACCAGCAGAGCTATTGCGGGGAGCCCAGGGTTGGCATCACAGAGCTGTGGGAGCACTGAGGGGTACTGCGGGGAGAGCCCCCACCCTGGGCTGACTCTGGCATTGGCCGTGTGAGTCTCTGTCAGCCTGATGCCATTCAAACACCTGCCCCTTCCGGCTGGCCCCCCAGCCCCGCTCCAGGGGACGGCGCCCTGGATCGACACCCCCCAGAGCTTTGGGGGAAGCGCCGCTCCAGTCCCGCACGGTGTCGCAGGGCACCCAGGGGCCCCGATGTGGGAGGCTCCCAGCTGTTTCCGGCAGGTCCCCCAGGGGAAGCTCCGTCCCGCAGCCAGGGCTTGGACCCTGCGCACAGGGCCCCTTCCCATCACTGTCCGGAGGCCATAAACTCCCCCCCCCCCCCGAGCTGCAGGGGGCCAGGGGCCAGGTGAGCCCTGCCAGATGCATTCCTGCCATAGCTCAGCTAATTAAAGTCAGGGCTGGGGCAGAGGGTTCACCTCTGTGCTCCTGGAGGGCATGGGAACGTGGCCGGAGCCTGCTGAGGGCGAACAGCACCGGCTGGGGGCCGGGGAGAGCAATGGGGCCAGACCCCAATCTCCTGAGCCCCGGGTCAGTGCACTAGCCGCAAGGCCAGTCTTCCTCCATCCGCACTGGGATTTCCATGCGGCTAGACTCAGCTCAGGTCCGCAGCCCTCTGTGCCTCGGTTTCCCCATCTGTAAAATGGGAGCTAGTACTGGCACCACGGGGGTGAAGCTCAGAATGCCTATAAAGTGCTGCCAAGGCCTTGGATGG